GGACAGACAAGTTGTGCTTAAGTGGAGCCTGAACATATGCACAAAATCAATATATAACACAATAGACATAGAGATGTCATAAAACCACAAGACCGAAACATCATAAATATAATGTATATATATATATATACATTATATCGTGAAAATAGACAGACAAGTAAAAGCTTAAAACCTCGAAGCTTAGTCCTTAAAACCTGGAGGGTTTAGGGTTTAGGATTTAGTATTTAGGGTTTAAGCTTTAGGGTTTAGGGTTTAGGGTTTAGGGTTTAAGGTTTAGGGTTTAGGGTTTAGGGTTTAGGGTTTGGGGTTTAGAGTTTAGGGTTTAGGGTTTAGGGTTTAGAGTTTAGGGTTTAGAGTTTAGGGTTTAGGGTTTAGAGTTTAGGGTTTAGGGTTTAGGCTTTAGGTTTTTGACGCCAAACCTTAAAAGGTTTGACGCCAAACCCTAAACCCTAGAATGTTTTTCTGTGGAAACCTACCACAAATCATGTGCTGTCATGTGTTTTTCTGTGGAAACCTACCAAACGTCATGTGCTGTCATGTGTCTTTCTGTGGAAACCTACCAAACGTCATGTGCTGTCATGTGTCTTTCTGTGGAAACCTACCAAACGTCATATGCTGTCATGTGTCTTTCTGTGAAAGCAAAGCACACGTCATGTGACGATCTGTGCCAGTCACAGAATGTCATGTGACACAAGAACTAGATCACATGACATTCTGTGACGACGCCCAAATCGTCACATGACAAACTGTGGCATCGAAAAACGTCATGTGACACATTGTGGCACACCAAACAAGACACATGACATACTGTGACCCAAAAAACACGTCACAGTATGTCATGTGACAGAAACCCGCACATCACATGACAAGCTGTGACAACAACTGCACGTCATGTGTCTTTCTGTGGAAACCCGACACAAATCATGTGACGTCATGTGTCTTCAAAAAAAAAGCCAAAAGAAAACATGTGACGTCATGTGTCTTTCTGTGAAAAAGCAGAAAACGTCACATGTTGTCATGTGTCTTTCTGTGAAAAAGCAGAAAACGTCACATGTTGTCATGTGTCTTTCTGTGGAAAACAAGAAAAAAAGCATTTAGGGTTTAAGCTTTAGGGTTTAGGGTTTAGGGTTTAGGGTTTAAGGTTTAGGGTTTAGGGTTTATGGATTAGGGTTTAGGGCTTAGGGTTTAGGGTTCAGAGTTTAGGGTTTAAGATTTAGGGTTTGGGGTTTAGGGTTTAAGACACAACCCCCCCCCCCCCCCCCCTCTCCCCCCTTATTGAGTATCGCCTGTCCAGAGAGGCTTCGTCCCCATATAGTTGTGTCTGTCCAGACACACCCACCCCCCCCCCCCCTCCCTCCTGCCGTATTAACGCCCTGATCTTGTCCAGAAAAGGCATCATACTTGTCTGTCCAGACACGACCCGCTCCCCCCCCCCCTCCCCCAACTTGTCTGTCCAGACAAGACATGGTGTTTTGTCTGTCCAGACAGGACACCGCCGAAAAACAACTTTCCCTTGTCTGTCCAGACATGTTCTCCTCTGGTGTCTTGTCCAAACAAGACACCACCGAAAAACAACTTTCCCTTGTCTGTCCAGACATATTATCCTCTGGTGTCTTGTCTGTCCAAACAAGACCCCGCCGAAAACAAAATTCTCCCTTGTCTGTCCAGACATGTTCTCCTCTGGTGTCTTGTCTGTCCAGACAAGACACCGCCGAAAAAAACTTTCCCTTGTCTGTCCAGACAAAGAAGCCCCTAAACCAGGCCTAAACCCTAAACCCTGAACCCTAAATCTTGAACCCCAAACCCTAAACCCCAAATCCCAAACCCTAAACCCTAGACCCTAAACCCTATAATGTTTCCATGCTATAAATAGATCGATACATATAGCATCAAGGAGTAAACACATGACTCAAAGCAAAATTTAGATAGATAAATGTATATATAAATGAACACACACACACACATATGTATATAATATATATATATATATATATATATATATATTATATATTTATATTTATAAAAAATATACTAATGTTATTAGTATTATATATATAAACAATACTATGTATATTTTGCTGTGCATGTGCACGCACTATGTGTCCCCAGATCTTTGGCCCCCAGTTTCAGATAGGTTCAGAGAAGCTATATAGTTAAGCTATGCCGACGAACAAGAAGCCTGCTGCTGCAGCTGCTGTGCTGAAAAAGCCCAGTGCCAAGACAAAAGAGGCCCAGACAAAAGAGGAGGTCCTTGAAAACATGGACGCTGACCATGACGAGGGCGAACACGGTGAAGAGGAGGAAAGAACAGAGGACCCCTTGGTCGACCCACAGGAGAAGCTTGCCAAGGCTGTCACCAAGTACCCCTTTACACTCAAGAACGTGAAAAAGCACACAGATTTGATGGAGGCTCGGGGATGGAGTGCGACTGAGCTGCACGAGGCATTCAGGAAGTTGAAGCCCGCCGAGCAACAAGCTCTTTGGAAACTCTTTGAACGCGATCGCAAAGCCAACAAGGTGGATGAGGACTTTAAGAAGTTGACGAATGGCTCTGGTGCCACGAACAAGAAGCACGAGTTCTTACGTGGGTGGCTCAGCGACGGCTGCTCCGTGGGCCCGAGCTTTCGCAAAGCTCAGTTGGCCTTTGAGGCCCTGGACCGGCACAAGACAGAGGTGCAGTGGATCTCGTGGAAGCAGGTGTGCAAGAAGTTCGGCAAGAAAGAAGCACTTCAGAGACTCGAGAACGGATCGTTGAAGTACAGACGGTCACCGTCAGACACGAGGCTTTGCTTGAATTTTAAGAGGCTTCTTTTCTTATATACCCTAAACCCTAAACCCTAAACCCTAAACCCTAAACCCTAAACCCCAAACCCTAAACCCTAAACCCTAAACCCTATATGGGGAGCAATGTCTTTTGAGTTTGAAGAAACCAGCCAAGGAATTTTTTGGAGTTCAGACACGTGCAAGAAAGCTTCCCGCATGAGCACGTCAAGAAGAGAAAGACCCAGGTGGAAACCGAGGGTGGCAAGGTGGACAAGAAACTCTTGCACGACATGGAGGGCCTGAAGATCGAGGATGTGACGGCCGAGGACTTCGAGATGCAGACCGCCCTGGAGAGCATGGAGGTGGACGAGGACGTGAAGAACTTGATCCTGACCAAGATCGGAGCGACTGAGGGCAGCTCTGGGGCTTCCTCTTCCAGCTCCTCCTCTGCAGAGAAAAAGAAGAAGAAGAAGCTCAAAGTGAAGATCTTGAAGAAAGCTTCGAAGGACAGCTCGACCAGATCTAGTGAGAAAGACTGGGAGAAAACCTCCCAGCTGGGAGATGCTGACGGCAAGCCCGAGTTCAAGAGCAAGATCGACAGCTTTCTGCAGGAGATCCAGAAGGACACTGACTTTTTCAAGGCCTTGAACCTTGAGAAGGCCGACGCCGACGAGAAGACCTTCGTGAAGAAGACCCAGACCTCTTTGGAAGGTGCCTTGCAGACCCTTCAAAAAGCCCGCAAAACCCTGAAGCTTCAGGAGGTGAAGGAGGCCCTGGTGGCCGGCTTGAATGCCCTCAAAAAGAGCAAGACGGCGAAGGCCATGGATTGCTGCAAGGACAAGAAGAGGAAGAGCAAGGACTGACTGAGGCCACTGAAGATCGGCCAGAGATCGGTTTTGGCATCTAGCTTAGACCCTCGACATTTTAATTTACTGTACAGCTTCCTCCCGAGGACCGCTAGATCTGCCAGTATAGGTTTATCTGAAGCTTGCAAGCCGAAAATTGGCCACATATTACTGGCTGGACAGCCACGCTAAAACATCAATGGCTGGACAGCCATGCGAAAAAGTATCAATGGCTGGAACAGCCACATGTATGGTATTTCTGGTTTGGTTGATTTTTCATTTGCTCTTGAAATATTATTTTGATTACTTTTTGCACGTATCGTGTCTGCTATTCTACTAGGATATATCAAGTATTCTATCTCTTAGTGTTTTCTTTTTATACAAATATATACTCTTGCTAACAGTCTATATTGAAACCTGAAATGTGTGTATATGTATGTGGACATTATATATATATATATATATGTATATGTCTGTGTGTGTTATCTTAAGTAGATGTGAGAAATAAATTATATTAATATAGTGTTTTCTTTGTATGCAATATACCATTTATAGTGCTACACAAATGTGCAATTTATGTTACATCGTTATATATATTAAGCATCAATGGCTGGACAGCCACGCTAAAACATCAATGGCTGGACAGCCACCTGGTCTATGCTTTAAACTAGTTGCTGTCAAGTCTGGAGAAAAAAAGTCGCAGTTTTGGCCCCGTGGTGAAGGTTTTTAGCTTGACACAGAAAAGTCCACCTTGCTGAGCTTCATGGCCCCACCCATGGACGAGAAGCTGGAGACGACCGAGGAAATGAGAATCCGCAAGCGAGGCGACTTTGTCTCGAGTTTGATCTCCAAGCACCCAGCCCTGGACTTTGACTTTGTGCACAGCTTGTTTACCGTCGAGGACATGGTGGGCTTGACACCGAAACGGGCCTGGGAGAAGAAGGCCGGAAAAGCCAGGCAACTGTGCAGAGCATTGCAGGAGTTGTTGAGCTAGTGGCAGCCGGTGTCTCTTCAGAGAAGACGAACATATGGGCTTTAATTAACCACTGCATGCATGCAGACAATGAGAAATTCATGAAAAAGTACGGCTCTGAGAGCATGCTGTTGCATTGAGTCATACTCTAGTTCACAGGCTGGACAGCCTCATGCATGCAAGGTCGATGCAGAGCAGTCAAAGGCTGGACAGCCTAGACGGGCATGTATAGCTTAAAGGCTGGACAGCCTCGAGGGATGAAAGCTGTCAATGGCTGGACTGCCACTATATGACTTGTAAATTTATAAGCATGCATGAAAGAATCTATATACAGCCATGTATGGGCTCTAGTGTGTTTTGCAAATATGACGAAAAGAAAAAGAGCCTCTGAAAGGCTGGATGCCATGGAACCCTCGCCCATGGGACTGATGATGCTCCGGGATTTCGCTGAAGGCAAGATGCCGGCCAGCAAGCTGCAGGAATACGCCCATGCTGCCGTGAAGAGTGGTGTCTTGTTCGAATGTGTATATTTTTCGTTTGGCTGTAGACATATGCATTAATATAAGGTGCAAATGCTCCTGACTTGGCCAAGATGGCTCAATTGGGAGCATATGGCAATTCAAGCCAGAACGCCCACAGAGATCTGATGAAATTCGCCTTCAGCAATGTGATGGCCCCCAGACTGACCTTCGTCGAGACCAACGTCTCCTTTAGAGATTTGGCCACTGGTGAAAGGAAAGTGACCCCCAAGAACGTGCCTGTGCTGCTGCTCGGCAGGCATCACTGAAATAGTTTGAACTAGTTGAATCAGCAGCTGCATGATTTGAATAAACGACTTAACTGCATGACTATTTTTCATTGAGGCTCCCTCATCTGTGGATCGAGTCCCTCGACAAAGGCGGTGTGCTTGAAAGTATTACAGCCAGTACGTCAGCATTGAAGCAGTATTGGTCAGAAGTGAACTTCAAGAGCCCCCAGATGAAGGACCCTTTTTGGAAAACTTTCTCCGTCCAGAAGGAGCTGCCAATACCACTTTTGATACATGGTGACCATGCCAGTTTTTCTGAAACTGACAGCATGCTGGTGGTCAGCATTCGCTGCCTCATATCGGACAGGTCGATTAAGAGCTCCGAGCTGCTGCTTGCTTGCCTGCCGAAAGATGCCAATGCTGGTTCTTGGACAGCCTTGTGGAAGGAACTCGCTGCCAGTCTGAGTGTCCTGGCTGCAGGCAAGCATCCAGACGGCAAGCCTTTGAGGCGATGTGTGTTGATGGCTGTGGCTGGGGATCTGGAATTCTTTGCCCAAGAGTTTGGATGGCCCACTGCCTTGAGCAACCAGCCGTGTCCTTACTGTAAGGCGGACAACCTCTTCAACAAGGACAAAGAGGTGGCACCGTTCAACGACTTCCGCCCATGTGCTGCATGGAGGGGCATGCTCAAGGCCCCACCAAACAACGGTCACCTCTTGTTCAGTGTCCCCGGAGTGAATGCCTGGAGCCTGAAACTGGACCTACTTCACATGGTAGACTTGGGGTGCAGTGCATCTGGGCTTCGATCTTGGTGGTCTAGACTTTCCCTGAGTACATAATACGATTTTCTGATATATACATATATATAGATGGAATTGATGATCGACTATAGATGTACTATATGTACATCTGACAGTCAGGCACACCTGTTCGGGAACCTGCTCTACGACTTGGGGCAGGACGAGCTCCCTGGTTCTTCTTTGTTAGAGAGGATGGCTGCACTGAATGCTTTGCCGCTAGGCTATATTATATTGTCTGTGGCCCGGGCTTAAGCTGCAGGGTGTCGCATTTTCGTTTTTCTATATAGCTGCTGAGGATCATGGAAACATATGTCGAGCTGGGAATCCCTGCCAATCGCAGAATTCCCAAGATCGCCAAGACCAACCTCGTGGGGGCCTCTGACTACCCGTGCCTGCTGCACATCAAGGGCCGGAAGATCAGGGATTTTGCCGATGTGGCTGTTTCCTGGATGCATGGTAAAATATCTTATCTAAATGTGCACACATTTACTCCCAACCTTTGACATAATTTTTAGGTTGTGCTGGCGAACAAGTTCACGGGGATGGAAGAGGGACGACACAGAGCAGAAGCTTGCAAGGCAATGAAAACTCTGTATGATTTGGCTGATCGGAAAGAATGGTTCTGGAGCAGCAAGAACCACGAGAAATTTGACAAGGCCGTGCATGCCTTTCTGTCCCACTATGCATACCTGGCCAAGGCTGCATTTCGCAAAGGCAAGACGAGATACAGCATCGTGCAGAAGTTCCACTTGTTGGCCCATTTTCCTGAGCAGTGCAGATGGGCCACACCCAGAACATGTTGGACATACGGCCCGGAGAGTTTTATGTCCATAGTGAAAAGGATAGCTAGCAGCTGTGATCGTGGAACTGCCGCCTGGCAGGTACCTGAAAAGGTTTGCAGCAAATTCGCCTTGTTTCATGACTTGATCCTGAAGGGATGGCTTGACATGGATCAGGAAGATTGAAAAAGACTTTTGAACTTATAGGTTGTCAAACGATGTCTCAATGCCTGGACAGGCAGGATCTGGGCAATGTCTGGACAGACATGTTGTGTCTTAATGCTTGGACAGGCAGGTCATGGTGTCTGGAATAGAGATCGAGAAAAAATGCCTGGAGAGGCAGCTCTCATGCAATAGCCTGGACATGAGAAAATCATGCATGGACAGGCGGTTAATGGGCAATGTCTGGACAGACAGGCAGCTCACCAATCAATGATCGTATATAATATAAAATAATGTAATACACATATATATATATATATATATATAATATAATCATGTATCTTGTTTTTTTTTCTGTTTTGGTTGGTTTTCAATCTTGAAAAAATCTTGAATTTTCGTTTTTGGTTGGTTTTCAATCTTGAAAAAATCTTGAATTTTAAAAATCTGCGCTTGATTTTTGAAAAAAACATAGAATTTCGATCTTGAAAAAAATCTTGAATTTTCATTTGTTATCGTCTCAATTTCAACGAAATCCCCAAAAATCAAGAACTTGAAAAAAATCTTGAATTTTTTGCTTTTTCAAGCTCCGCTTGAAAAAATCAAGTGCGCTTGATTTTTTCAAGTGTGGAGCCTATGGGTATGTATATATGTATATATGTATATATGTATATATGCATATATGCATATATGTATATATGCATATATGCATATATGTATATATGCATATATGTATATCTGTATATATGTATGTATGTATGTCTGTATGTATGTATATATGTATATATGCACATATATATATATATATATATGTATATATGTATATATGTATATCTGTATATATGTGTATATGTATATATGTATATATGTATATGTATATATGTATATATGCATATATGTATATATGTATGCGTGTAATATTTTGTGTATTCTGTTTGTTTTCTGCCCCCACCCCCAAGATCTACACCCTCCTTGTCTACACTACTCTTCTGCTGGCTTCCACGCACTTCTGAACAAGTAGTGCACGCCGAAAGCACTGTAAATACCGCTAAAATCGTACTTGTCGAGTATTTCCGGGACTATTTTACGTAACACACCATGCATGCAAAAATGTCTATAAATCTGCAACCGAATTTCGGTCTAGAATTATGTGACCTTCTATACTTTGAAAGCAAAAAACCTGGAAGGTATAGCAGTTTTGCTGTTAACACCTCAAAAAAATTCGTGCTTTTTGTGTTTTTTACTGTTGTCTTTGTAAACAAATACGTGCTGAGTTGCACGTGTCCACTGAGCTGCACGTGTCAACACTGGGTCTGACGGGGCTTCTTTCAGGATTCCCAGGAAAGGGTCTCTTTGTCTCATACAACAATAACAGCCAATAGTAGGAAAATTCCTACCACTAACCATAACAATATTATCATGCCTACTGTTATAGTAATCACTGGTTCCGTAGTAAAATGTGTCCGCTGTGTTTCGGGGGTTCTGCAAACTCCAAGTCTGGCTTATCGGGCGGCTTGCGGCGTGTGTCCCAATAGCTGTCCTTCAGTGCTCACTCCAAGCAAGCTGAAAATAGGAATTCACAGACTAAACCAGTATGTACTTATGCAATGAATATTGCATTGGTGTGCTTTTCAAAATGTACCAGGTGTTTCAATAGTATTTAATTTGCCTAGTTAGTCAACATTTTGCTTGGAGAAAGCGTTGCTTAGGAAAATTGCATTCTTTGTGCCGAAACACCTGAAAACCAAAAGTCCAAACTTCGCCAGAGATTCTCCCAAGGCTTTAGGATTTGGAACTTCCGAGTACTATGATCTTCACGAGGCAAATAGGTTTCCAAGAAAGAATATGTATTCTTGAGCTTGTCTATGCGAATTGTGCGCTTGAGACAGAATATAATCTGTACAAGTGGTGTTTAATCAGTGCGCTTCATCACTATGTGATGAAAACTGCTTGTTTAAAGTCAAATCTAGTACACATAATCGCTGTGCTAAAGTCGTGTTTCTTTAAGAACTCTACGAGAATTATGCATTTGTAAGCTTGTCTATGCTGTTTAAGAGTTCGTAATTCAGTATTTTTGCCGCACTATGTGCTTAGAAGAGTATTTCCCTGGGCTTGGGACAAGCACTGCTTCTCTAGAAACAGAACGAATTGCTTTTCAAAAAAGCATCTTGTCTCTAAAATTGCAGTACTTGTCTAGATCATTTTGCAATAGGTATTCTATGAGTGAACAAAAACTAGGATAGTTTACTCAGCCTCTTTCATATAGTATTAGTTCGCCTAGTACAGGCACTATAGGTTTTGGGCACGCATTATTTCTCTACAAGAGAAACACGAAACCAGACAAACCAAAAACCCACAAACCAAAAAAAAAACAAAACCGAAAAAAACAAAAGAACCAAAATAAGCATTTTCTGAGACTCTTGGAAACAAAAAACCAAAAATATACATATATATACAAAAAAAACAAACAAACAAAACCAAAACCAAGAAAAAAAAAACAGAAAACACATTATTCGGAGACTCCTGGACAAATCGAATCATTACCCCGGTGTCGTCAAGAGTTCGAAAATAATGGTGTTTTTGGTGTTCTTGGTTTTTCTGGTTTTTTGGGGTTTGTTTTTTTTGGTTTGGGTTGTTTTGGTTTCACCTGTCCAAGAGTCTCAGAATAATGTATTTTTTTGGTTTTGTTTTTTTGGTTTCGGCTTTTTGGCATCCTGATTTTGGCGTTTTTGACCTTTTTTGGGTTCTGGAAACCTGTAAACGTAGATCTTGGGGGGGGGGGGGTGGCGAGCATATAAATATGTGTATATATATATATGTATGCATAGTACTCTATAATATAATACATCATATTACATTATATCATATTATATTGTATTATATCATATTATATTATGTTGTATCATATTCGATATATATATATATGTATATATATATATATATATTATACATATATGTGGTAACCCCTCCCCCCTCTGCATGGATCCATACTTTTTCTTCATTTTTTTTTCTTTCAGGTATCGAGCTCAGAAAGACCATTTCGTCTAGGGCCGCAGGGTTTAGGGCCCCGCCCCCCTGCACATGACACAGCCACGCTCCCTTCCCCGACCTCTGCAAAGGTGCTGTGGGGAGGGGGGGGGGGGGGCCCTCTCGTGAGGTCTCAAAGTTTGTCCTGTCAGGATACAAATTTTTTCAAAATTTCAAAAAAACTCAAAATTGAACTTTTTGGGCCCTAAAACCGAAGATTGAAGAACTGAAGATCCCTGCAAAAAGTTTCTCCAGCATCTTCGATTTGGGGACCCGAAATGTTTTTTCATATCTAAAAAAAATTCGAATCTGAAATTTCCCCATCCTTCAACTGCAGATTCTAGGAAAACTTTGCCTAAAAATCTTCAATTCTTCAATCTTCGGTTTTAGGGTCCAAAAATTTCAAATTTGAAGTTTCTTTGAAATTTTGAAAATTTTCGGGTCCCCAAATCGAAGATCCTGGGAAACTTTTCCTAGGGATCTTCAATTCTTCAATCTTCAGTTTTAGGGTCCAAAAATTTCAAATTTGAAAAGGTTTTCCACAAGAGTCTCCCAAAAATCTTCAATCTTCACTATCTTCTATTGCAATTTTTCAAAATTCTTAAGCATTCCAAAGAATTAATCCTGAACTAAGAATATTAGGAAAATTAATCCTGGAATGAGCGTCTTGTGAACTAACACCCGCACGAAAAAGTTTGAACGCAGCCCTCCCTCCCCCTCCCTCCCCCTCCTCTCCGCCAGGCTCCGCTGCGCTCTCTGGTTGTTTTTGTAAGGGCTTGTTCAAGGCTTATCTTTAAAACCTTATCGGTTAAGGGAGTAGGGTTTGAAAGAGAAGGCCCGAAACTCGAGAGGGTTTAAGGCTCTAATCCCCAACTTAACTCTTAAACCCTAAACCTTTAAACCTCATACATAGGGTTTCAAGGTTACGCAATTACACTTAAATCCTTAACCTTTTAAGCCCTATGGTGAAGGTTTCAAGGTTTAGGGTTTAAGATTTAGGCATTTAAACCTAACCAGCAAATGGACCGCACTCTTAACCCTTTTCCCCTAGGGTTCAGGGCGTTAAGGTTTTAAGGTTTAGGGTTTCAAATTTAAGCATTTAAACCTGAGGCCATAGAGTTTAAACCATAAGGGTTTAAGGCTTAGGCATTTAGGCCTTGACTAGCCTTTAGGATTTAGGGAAAAATTCCGCTCCTTAAATAGCTGTCGCTACCTTCTAAAGAGAAGGATCACCTACTAGTTTGGGATTTGACGAATAACAAGGTCTACGCCACCCACCTCATGGTTTACGCAATAGGATTTGGGGAATAAGAGTACGGCAATGCGATTTTGGGAACAAGATTTAGGGGCCCCGCTCTCTTTAGGACTTCAAATGAAAAGGACTTTGGGTTCAGGGACCCTCTTCAGGGTTTAGGGAACAAGTTTTGGGAGTAAAATTCAAGGAATAAGATTTAGGGATCCCGCTCTTTAGGATGTAGGGAAAAGAAATTAAGGAATAAGGTTAGCTTTTCTAGGATTTGAATAAGGGAATAAGATTTAGGGATCCCATTCTTTAGGATTTTGCAGCTTTTCAGGGGCTCTCCTAGGGGCTCTCCTCTGTAGGATATGTGGAAGGTTTCCCTGCATTCAGTTTCGTATGTACATCCTGAGGCTAGACGGGCCACAAAACAATGGATCCATGAGAGGGCGGGGGGTAGCGCATATATATATATATATATATACACATATATATATATATACATATACATTTATATATACAAGTATATGTTTAGAACTATTTTGTGACACTATTAGTATGAGAAAATACGTATGCTTGCTTTTACTTTACAGTAGAATAGAAGGACTGGAACCTGTCGAGTCCATCTCAAGACGCTCCGCCTTGAGAGGTCGCGCCTGGCAGCTCACCTCAAGTTGAAACATGAGCCCTAAACTGAAGCAAAGTTTCTTTTGCAAGGACCCTTACCAAGAGTCTACTTTGCAACGTGCCGCATCCACCGAAGCCTCCGGCTGAACCCTCTGTGGAAGCCATGCAGCCGACCACATCCTGACAAGCCAGAAGTGTCCGAAGTGCCTCCGCCTGGCGCAGGGCAAGCACTCGTGGCACCCGTGACAGCATGAACTCCGCTCAAGAAAGAATTATCGAAGGTGCCCTGAGCACTCAAAGATGCTCTGACTGACCACACTCCTACTGCTAGCGCACTCAAAGCAGCACAGAGAGGCTCCAAGCAACGCCTCTGCTTGGGCCGCCCGGCAGCGCTGGCGTTCGCTGTCCAGCGCATCACTGGCATGTGGCAGATTTTTGACCAACACTTGAGGGAATGAGGTCCGTTTCAATACCTGTTGCTACGCACACTCCTGGACGCTTGATTCCTACATTCATGCACAGGGGAAAGTTATCAGGCAGCCTACGCAAGAAATGCAAACATGGCGGCCCCTGCGGAGTATGAATACAACCCAGCCTCAGCGATCTGTTCGCCTCGACGAGGTGCACCCTCGCGGCTCGGGCGATCTTTGCCTCCTCCGCAAGTGCGAAGCGCAGGGCCTCCAGTTGCACAACCGGACATAGGTTTGATGTCAAGTTTGCATGCCCCCCCTTTCTTTCAATACATGAAGTAAAAGAAGCTAGCAGAATGCTGCATCCGTACAAGCATCTTTCCACGAGCTCCAGCCGGAAAGAGACTGCGCAAAGTGCTACACATTGCGTGGGTTTTGAGGTTGCTGGCACATGCCAGGCTGAGCGCTTCTCGCCTCATCAATCTGCGCCTGCACATCTGCCTGAAGTTCGGGCCTCGACTCCTGGAAAGGCGGGATGCGGAAGGGGGGCATAATAGCTAACGAAGGAACGTGCTCAGCCCCGCCTCAGCCACCTTCTCCGCCAGCTGTTCCTTCACAGGCGCACGTACCATGCGAAAGAAAAAACGCAGCTGGTGAGATCAGGGTCAGGATGCGTTGCGAGTCCTGGAGCTGCTCCAGTTCCAGGCGCCTGCATATACAGCATCAATATAAAGTTGCATATGTAAGGGGGCGGAAACCTTGCACAAATATGGCTTGAGGGACATTACTGGGGCTCCAGGCATTTCCAATTCCCGCTCCGCTGCGAGGGCTGCTTGCTGTGCAAGCGCCAGCCGGAGTTCCTGCTCGGAATACCAACTCTCGCGCGACTGGCCGGCTTCGGTTTCAAAAGGAAGCGTGGAAGGCCAGGTGAAAACCATGCGAAAGCGACAACATCGCAGGAACGCAAGACCTCAAGGACATTTGGCGAAAAGCATGCAGCACGTGAAGCCAAGCTCAGGAAGCGCGAAACTGAAGAAAAAATGGGCCGCCTAAGCCGTGGGATGGTGCAGTATGGTAGAACGCAAGGGCACCACACCCTCGCGCCTCGCGCTCCTCCCTTGCCCGCCCCACGGCCACCAGGAGCTCTGCGGTGGTGCCCGAGGCCTGCGCGTCGGCTTCGCGCCTCACAGCTCTCTCATAAACTCTCGAAATACACATCTGGCATCATCTGGCATCGTCTGGCATCATCTGGCAGTGTAACAAGTAATGTGACGTGCAGCACCGGGCCTCAACTCAGCGGAGACTTCACGCAGCTCGCTGCCCAACTCGGAGCTCCCCAGTCGTGCTGCTACAGCTGCCAGCCGCTCGGCCAGTCGGCCGAGGCCTTGGGGCTTCGATGCTCTGCATGTTTAATGCATATTTAATGCATCCTTGAGGGCCGCCTCCCAAAACAAGCGAGCAAGGAGCTATTTCGGAATCATTTTCATGATTGTCTTCATCGGCACATGCAAAGGCACTTTCCGCAGCAAAAGCAAGCGAGCCGCTGGAAGTTGCCATAAGCAACAACTGACAGCACACATCATGGCCAGCACCACTGCGTTTCTGCTGCTTGCACTTGTCCCATATGACGTTGGCAGGTTGTGCGTGCAGCTGCAGGATACCCAGGTGCCCTCTGTGTAATTGTCACTGCTGTGACGTACGTGCACCATACTACGACCACAACTTGACATGCTAACGGCTAACGCCGAACTACGTCGCACTTGCTGACCTGTTCCAATGATCACGTTGACGTGCTCCAGCCCTTTTCGCGGCACAGCTTCCAACATCTTCAGCTGCCTCCGTGGGAAATCGCACGCGTAGTGTTCCCAGACCCCTGAATCCAAGCGCTAAACCCTAAACCCAAAGCCTAGTGTGTGCTTTTTGTTCCGTTTCGCTTTTTGTTCAGCACGCCCTTTTGTAGCTCACGCGGCTGGCCGAGAAGAAAACATAAGCACGTTCCGGTTCCACAGAGACTTAGCCATCGACCCCAATGCCCAGCAGACCCAGCCCGTCCCAGCCCTCTGGAGGATTTCAGACACAGTGCCGTCAGAAGCTTCGGAATTGAGGTGTGAAGGCTATCTTCAAGGGCCTCAGGGGCTGCATCTGCCGGTTCATTCTTCGATGTGGGCCATTCTGGGCAAGAACATGCCAGATACAGACATAAGACATACTTAAACGTGACGCGCGAAGAGACCAAACTCAGCCGATCAAGATAAAATCTTGCCACGGCTTGAGATCCTACACAAAGGTGCCTGCCAACTACTTCTGAGGGCGGCCCAAGTGAAACCAAATCTGTGGCCCTGCACACTTATTCGCACTTTCGTGCGCCTAAAGAAATGCATGGGCTTGGGCCCTTGCATTTGCACATCCTTGAAACCATGTTATCATGATTCAGACTCCGTGCCAGACCTTTGACTCCTGGCGCTTCCCAACAGCAAACATTTTGGCGTGCAGGTTAGAGGGTATGGGCTTTGAATGGGTTTACAGTACGTGAAGCCTTTGGAATCCCAAGACCCCAAACTAGCTCTGCTTCGGATGTGAATGTTGGCGGCAGGAAGAGGTCGGCTCTAAACCAAAGTCGTTTGTTCGGGCCCTTGGCTAAGTAGAGACCAGACAGTTCTAAGAGACGAGCAGGGCGCGTTGTGCAAAAGGCACGGGGCTTCAAGTCCATGAACCTGAAACCTGAACCCTAGATGGGCTCAAGCACTGATCTTAAACAAGGCGGGCCTAGCTTCACAGAGCAAAGCCGCCGCCAGCCCCGCATCGGCCTCCCACATGCTTGCGCGAAGCAGCCACACGAATGCTGATAAAATAACAAAAAAACCCTCAACTCTTCTCTTGAGGAAGCACGCTTAGATGTAATTTGTTTTTGCTTGCTCGTAATTGCAGGCGTTCTCATCCACAAAACTTGGTTGTCACTTGTTTTGGCTGCGGAACGGCCTAATCCCCTTGACCCAACCTATCCGTGCCAGCCAACATCTCCTTTTGCGGTAGGGGTTGCCACCCAGCATCTCTTTGGGTTTAGGGGCTTCAGGGGTTTTAGGTTTCGGGGTTTTAGGGCTTAAGGTCTAGGTTTAGGGTTGCACCTCTTCGGGTTTAAGGGTTTGGGGTATTCGGCTTTGCAAACCCACATCTGCTTTAAGGGCTTCGGGCTTACCCTCCAACCTGCCTGGGTCCGCCTGCATCCACAGGACCCCTTTGTGGGCCTAAGGTTTGCCACCCGATGGCCCTCAAGGGCTTGCCACCCAACATCTCTTTTGCAAGGCCGGCCATCATCTCCGTTCTGGGGTTTGGGTCTGCCACATAGGGCTTAATGCAGGGCTTGGTGCTTGCCACTCAACATCCCCTCTTGGGGATTAGGGCTTGGGGCTTGGGACTTTAGGAAGTTCAGGGCTTGCCACCAAACATGTCCTTTGGAGGTTGCGGTTTGCCTGCCAAACCCTCTTATCCGGACTTTCGACACTAGAGGTACCCTTTTGGGGGGTTTATATGATAAGGATTATTCTATTTTGGGGTTTTTCACCCTACATCAGAACCTCTGATCGGGCTTGGTTTGTCACCCAACACTGCCCTCCAACATTTCTTTTAATCCTTTAGGGGTTTGGGATTGCCACATTTCCGTTTAAGCTTCGGGTCTCCCTTAGGGGCATAAGGCTTGCCACCCCACATCCATGTTTCAGCTCCGGTCAGGGGTTTGAGACTTAAAGGTCTCCTTGCGCGACCAGGGAATGCCACCCAACGTCTCCTTCAGAGCGTCGGCCTCCACATTTTCGGGGAGGGGCCCAAAATCTCGTGGGAGGGTTCGCTGTCTTCCTGCGGGGCGGGTCATCCTTGTAGCGGGGGTAGGGCGCTGAGGCCCTGAGACGGACATGTTACAAGTAAGCAATAAAAGCTTTCTAGTAGTACGAACGTTACTAGTATTCCTAGCAATACTAGCATTACGAGTATTGCTAGTATTACTAATATTCCTGGTATTACTAGTATTGTTACTAATAAGAGTTGTAATACGAGTAGCAGTAGGAATAGCCATAATGGCCACGGCAACAGCAAGAGCAATGGTACCAACGACTGCACCTCGGCAGCCTGCGTCAGCTGGCGAAAAAACTCGGCCCGCACCTGCGGCATCATTATTGAAGAATGGCGCAGCTTGCCAGACCGATCTTCATTCAGTTTGCGGTGGTTGTTTCAACCCACGCCCCACAAAGAGTGCGGGATTGTGAGGTTGAAGGTTTAGGGTTTCGGGTTGAGAGTGGAAGGTTCCGGCTTTAGGCAATTTTTGCGCAGAACGGTCCCTCAATCGTGGCCCGCGGGGTTTAGGGTGTTGGTCGAGGCTGTAGGACTGTAGAATTCAAGGTTGTTGCTGCCAGTTCTACTTTGAAGGTTACGATCCCGAAGACAAGGGGCCTTGCCGCCAAAACCACCGATAGGTCTTGCACATGCCGTTTGCCCGTTGAACAAGCCTTGGTCTGAACGACAGAGCACTCAAAGCCTCTAAGACTAAGAGTCAAGCCCTGCAACCCCACAAAATGTTTTTAAAATCCATACCATCCATACCCCATGCAGCCAAGAATCCCAGCCCACCCCTCAACCCTAACCCCTACAAGCCCCTGGCTAATCTGAACCCTGAACCCTGAACCCTGAACCCTGACTCAGCCCCACCCTGAACCCGATGACTGAAACCGCCTTCAAACCTAAACCCTGACCCTCCCCCTGTCTCGTCCTCGTCTTCACGCGCTCGACTTTCAAAGTGAGCTACCTGAAGCAACTCACATGGGTGAGTCCGTGTGTCTCTGTTTAGAGGGCTTACAGAGTTTGCACGATCTTTCCGCAGGAAAAGCGGACGGGGCTGCAAGCAAATTTGGGTCTAGCATTGTCAAAGCAAGCCTTGCAAGGGAACTTGTACTCATGTCAAACAGCATTTCTGACGCAAAAGTTGTCCTTCATTCAAGAACTCGGCAACGCAGCAACGCCCAAGTCAAAGCCTCTAGATCATGTAAGTTGTGCAAATAAATCGAGCGTCAGCCCAAATGCGCCACTACCCGGCAAGCTTTTGAATGAAGGGCTTTGAGGCCCCAGAGGCTGGGCCTGTTCAGGTTTCTTGGCCTTATGAGAGGGTTGAGATTTGTCGCGCGTTTGGGGATTGAGGGTTTGTGGCCAGCCCCTGCATTCTTTCCTCCACCAACAGCCCCGCAGTTTGTTCGATGCCTTGACCCGGCGCTGGCGCTCGTCGTATTCGAACCTCCGGACTCGGAACCAGTTGCAACTGTCGAGCGGGGGCCTTAACAAGCAATTCGCTTTAGGGGCGTGGGGCTCGGAGGTTTCGGGCTTTTGTTGCATCGGGGATTGAATCTCAGGCAGCTAGTCGGGGAGTTTTCGGGTCGAGGTCGGATGCGGGACTGGGCCTCAATGGATTGGGTTTTTGATCCCCCTGACTCACATAAACAGTCCCAAAACTACCTTGAAACACTACTTGGGGATGGGATATAAGCAGCTTCCCCAAAGGGAGCCAAAGGATTCGGCCTCTCGATGCAAAACTCCCGGAGCCTCTTGCCTGCGGCGGGCTTCGCAATTTGGATGAAAATAGGCGTTGCTGGTCTGCAGGGGACTCATGGGTTCGGGTTTGAGGCTCGGGGATTAGAATTTGCAGCTGATTGCTTCGCCAGTACGGCCCGAAGGGTGTGGAGATCTTTGGGGCGGCGTTCAGGGGTGATCTGCGACAACCAAAAACAAAGCCCAGGATCACCCTGTGCCGGGTGTTTCGAAATCCTGACTCCACTTTATCTTGAAACCCAAACCATGATGCGCTTACTCCTCGACAAAAAACATGCGACAGATCCGAAGCTAAGTCGCAATGGCATGAACCCCATTTGGGGGCTCTTCTTCATACAGCCTCATATGCTGAAGGACCTAAAAGGGACTAGGATGCAGAGAGCCTTTTGTTGACTTTTTCGAGAACTGACCACATGTCTCGGAGTCCGGCCCACAGTCTCCTCGAAGCCGCCGCCGAAGTAGCGTCCATGCAGGGAGGCCAGGTGGTCTAAGGGGACACCTGGTCCCAGAGGGCAGAGCAACAGAGAAAATAAGCCAACGGATTTGAAGTGCGCAGCCAGCTTCATGGAGGCAACTACACCGAAACTCCGCTCGAACTTTGCCTCTGTGAGAGGCGTAAGGTTTGAGGCCTAGGGCGTAGGGTGGAAAGTGGGAGGCCTGCAGCACCGGCAGGCACCAGCTCCTGGGCAAAACGCCCGGTGTGACCGGATTACTTTCGGTTTCGGGCTGAGGGTGTGGGAAAGAAAGCATTGGCTGGAACTTCAAGTGAAGCCAAAATGGCATGGCATCATCTTCAATCAGGACTTTCCCCACCCGCGAGGCCATGGTTGGCGAAACATGCAGAGTGAAGCCCACCTACGCTCCGAAACGTCAACGATTACAATCTCTACAGGCTCAGACGGTCGCGCCTGCGTGTTCCAAGAACCCGCTCAACCCGGAACCCCTATCCCCGAGCCCTAAGGCTCGGCCCTCGAACCGGAAACTTCGAACCACCTCAACCTCCGAAAACCTTTACAAGTGGGCGTGAACCCCAAGCCTGCCCCAGCCCTAGCACCTAAGCCACGGTTCCAGGGTCTCGAAGAGCTCTGCCGCGTTTGCAGCCGCGGCAGCGGAACCCTCGATGAAGTCGGGATGCTCTGTACCCAGCACCTCGTAGGTCTTGGAGCAGTTCAGGATATGGGATTTAGGACAGGACATGTGTACATGAGCATTTGACATCTTGATCCAAGAAAAACACATGTCCAAGGCCTCATGGGCTAAGGCAGGCTTCATACGCTCAGCTCACTTCTTTACGTCACGCAAGAAGTGCTGCTGCAAGCCACTGGCTCAACTTGCGGAGAATTTCGGGTCTAGTTACAACCTTAGTTGGCGTACTTGTATCCCGCATATAATCATACCATTTAGGTCTGAGAATGGTGTCCTGCGGTAGTACTCTTCGTGAACCCAATCCGTCCTGGACACCTTGAGCCCTAAACAGCCTAAACCCTGGTTTTGTTGAATAGCCTGCCGCGCCCTGAACTCCGACCACCATAGACTCCGAACCTTGCGGGCCTCAGACAGAAAGAGTCGTCAGTTCCCTGCAAGTCTTATTATTCTGAGGCGGACAAGCGTCGACGGAGTTCGCAGTGGTGCAATCCTGGACGTTTTGAAGCTGAGGCCTGAACCTTTTTGACCCTCTTAAAGCCCCCAAGAAGTGAAACCCTGAGGCTAAAGCAGATACACCTCAACTTGGGGCTGAGGAGGTTGTCAACCCCAAGCTCTCTGCCACAGAGCCTAAAGCGGAAACTACACCAAGGAAGCTTTATGCGGAGGTCTTTGGGTGGCCACGCGTATGGATGGGAGGAAGTTGCGGCGTGTACCTGACGTGCAGTCCGCCAACCCCTAAACCGTGTTAGCCTAAGCGTAGGGCATAGGGCTTAGGGGCCAGGAGTCTAAATCTAAACCCGACGACTACACGTAACCCCTGAACCTACACAAGCCTACCCAGACACAGGTGCACGTATGCCCAGGCCATAAGCTCAACAAGACCTCGAAGCCTCAACCCTGAGCCACTCGCATCAGTGAACCTACAAACTCATGACATGGGAGGACTCCCTGCATTGAGATGTCATTACTTCCTAGATCAAAAAAGACGGTCTCAGTGTGACTGCCTATGGTTGGTTCTCGGCTGTGTGAGAGCCCTTCACCCGAAGCCCTAGCCCTGACTTAAAATCGCGGCAAAGAGCTTTAATCCGAAAATTCTGCCAGACCAGCTGATGCCGTTCTTTACCATCATCCTGAGATGATCACTGTAGGCTGGTGTTTTCCCACTTCAAACGTTGGGCTTGGCTTCCGGTGATCCATAAAGCGACGCCAACATGGCGAACAGGATCCTAGACATCCCCCAAATAGGGCTTTACATAAAAAGGGACCCCGAATATGGAAGAATGAGGACCCCAATAAGGTACCCCTTATATCGTAAAATTTCCCAACTGTTAGCTGCGCAGCAGTGTTGCTGTCACCCGCAAGCTGCGTAAGCGGCACGAGGCGCTCGCCGGCCAGTTCTCGCCGGAGTTGGGCTACATCTTGCTGGCTGCTCCTGTGGTCTTGGCAAAAGTTCTAAGGACAACTCGAGCACGTTTACAAGCATGTCATCCGCTCCAGCCAGCACATGCATTCAACTGCACAGACTTGCTACTGCATAGGGATCCTAAAGTAGGCTGAGGCCTCAAGGAACAAAATTAGGTTTCTGGCTCAAAGCCGCCTGAGCATGCTCCGCGGGCCCCTTTATCAGATACAACACAAGTTTGTTTTTACTACAATGCTCGGGAACAAAGAAAGCCCCACAAAAGCCTTCACGCCACTTTCATTCCCCCCTAAGCCCCGCTTTCCCTCCAAAACACCCCACGCAGCTCCAAAAACTCCATAAAGCCCCGTTCGCCGTTCACCCGCAGCCTCGCCATGACGGCGAGCACAATTGCTGCTTTGCTACTGAGCCAAAACGGTGGAGAACGGAAGGTGCAAACAGTACTTTAAGAGGGCTGAAGGTTGAGGAGGTCTCTTGTGTTAACTAGCGATTCTAGGTTGAAATTCAAGGATTTGAGGCTTTTGAACATTGTTGGACAACGTGGGTCTTTGCAGAAACTGTGCGCGGCTTCAGTGAAATGCGAATCAGCTCGATCAAATGATATGTCAAAACAGTTAAATCTCGTTGCCCAACACGGACAAGGACTGAATCTGAAACCACGAACCTGAAAGAGGGAAAGGGGGGACACCGGAGAACGGGGGCTAAACCCCCATGTGAAAACCGCGTGCATCGGGGTCCACCCTAAAAAAGTGGGACCTCCAGATGATGCACACCAACAGGTTTTCGCCTAGTCCCCCAAGCGAATGGAACTTAAACAGCACAAAGTCCAAAAGGGTGGGACAGGTGTGTTGCAAAACCCGACAAGTCCCAAACTCCCACATTCAAGCCTTCTGGATTGCCAACATCCTTGAAGCGCAAAAAGGTACAGCTTGTTGCATAACATGTGTGGCCCATATCTAAACATCATGCAGTTGCTTGAAACCCTGTCAATAAGGACTGCCTCGGCAACAACTGTGTGATCTCTGCAGCCTGTTTCCACAACTAGATGGACATGGATCGGTGTAGCAGAGTAGCACGCCAAATGTTGTGTGCGGATCGCAAAGTTGCGCAGCGCAAAACTCGCCTGTCGTTCGCTTCTGCAAGCACCACAGGGTCTTGTCCAACGTCTAGCTCCTGTGATAGTGGTTGTCGGCGGACGTTCTCAACTAGCTGCGCCTCCACCACCTTGAAGATCATGTTTGCCCACCAGGTTGTTCAACAGCTGGTAGGCCCAGTTGGCTGTGTCCCCTCCACGTTTGCGGTGGCCGCATATTTTTGAAGCAGTGTGTTAATTCCTCGCCCCTGTGCTCTTTCACCTTAGCCAACATCAGTGCAGAGGAACCGCTGAGTTGGGCTTCCAACTTTTTGGACCCAATGGCAGTTCACGTTGGGTCAACGCATCTGATCTGCAACCCGTGGAGTCAAGTGGAACACGTGGCGTGGCGCGTCGGGGCGCCGCGTGGTGCCGCGCTGTGTGAGTAGCGTGGAGAATCTGAACCGTGAAGTTCAAATGGCGCTTCGGCACATTGGCCGCTTCACTGTGGGCTTCGTTACATTTTCACGTTCCGTGCTGAAAATTTGCATCATCCACAATTTGACAAATTGGTTTCAAGCAAAGCACTCTGATTGACATGTGAGTGAAACCTGGAAGCATGAAAAAACACAGCAAAGCAACAACGACAAAATGCACAGTGGCCCCGAGGTCGTGCCCAACAAAGATTCGTGTGCATTGGTCCAGATCCGCGAAGTGAGTTATAAACTGGCTGATCACCTGGCAGGAATTTCTGCTGACAGTCTGCGCTACAAAGGCCGCACTGTGTGAAAACGTGTAATCAGGCTAAGATTCGCGAGGCCCCAAAGCCCCGCTTTCCCTCCAAAACACCCCACGCAGCTCCAAAACTCCCGTTTGCCGTTCACCCGCAGCCTCGCCATGACGGCGAGCACAATTGCTGCTTTGCTCCTGAGCCAAAACGGTGGAGAACGGAAGGTGCAAACAGTACTTTAAGAGGGCTGAAGGTTGAGGAGGTCTCTTGTGTTAACTAGCGATTCTAGGTTGAAATTCAAGGATTTGAGGCTTTTGAACATTGTTGGACAACGTGGGTCTTTGCAGAAACTGTGCGCGGCTTCAGTGAAATGCGAATCAGCTCGATCAATGATATGTCAAAACAGTTAAATCTCGTTGCCCAACACGGACAAGGACTGAATCTGAAACCACGAACCTGAAAAAGGGAAAGGGGGGACACCGGAGAACGGGGGCTAAACCCCCATGTGAAAACCGCGTGCATCGGGGTCCACCCTAAAAAAGTGGGACCTCCAGATGATGCACACCAACAGGTTTTCGCCTAGTCCCCCAAGCGAATGGAACTTAAACAGCACAAAGTCCAAAAGGGTGGGACAGGTGTGTTGCAAAACCCGACAAGTCCCAAACTCCCACATTCAAGCCTTCTGGATTGCCAACATCCTTGAAGCGCAAAAAGGTACAGCTTGTTGCATAACATGTGTGGCCCATATCTAAACATCATGCAGTTGCTTGAAACCCTGTCAATAAGGACTGCCTCGGCAACAACTGTGTGATCTCTGCAGCCTGTTTCCACAACTAGATGGACATGGATCGGTGTAGCAGAGTAGCACGCCAAATGTTGTGTGCGGATCGCAAAGTTGCGCAGCGCAAAACTCGCCTGTCGTTCGCTTCTGCAAGCACCACAGGGTCTTGTCTAACGTCTAGCTCCTGTGATAGTGGTTGTCGGCGGACGTTCTCAACTAGCTGCGCCTCCACCACCTTGAAGATCATGTTTGCCCACCAGGTTGTTCAACAGCTGGTAGGCCCAGTTGGCTGTGTCCCCTCCACGTTTGCGGTGGCCGCATATTTTTGAAGCAGTGTGTTAATTCCTCGCCCCTGTGCTCTTTCACCTTAGCCAACATCAGTGCAGAGGAACCGCTGAGTTGGGCTTCCAACTTTTTGGACCCAATGGCAGTTCACGTTGGGTCAACGCATCTGATCTGCAACCCGTGGAGTCAAGTGGAACACGTGGCGTGGCGCGTCGGGGCGCCGCGTGGTGCCGCGCTGTGTGAGTAGCGTGGAGAATCTGAACCGTGAAGTTCAAATGGCGCTTCGGCACATTGGCCGCTTCACTGTGGGCTTCGTTACATTTTCACGTTCCGTGCTGAAAATTTGCATCATCCACAATTTGACAAATTGGTTTCAAGCAAAGCACTCTGATTGACATGTGAGTGAAACCTGGAAGCATGAAAAAACACAGCAAAGCAACAACGACAAAATGCACAGTGGCCCCGAGGTCGTGCCCAACAAAGATTCGTGTGCATTGGTCCAGATCCGCGAAGTGAGTTATAAACTGGCTGATCACCTGGCAGGAATTTCTGCTGACAGTCTGCGCTACAAAGGCCGCACTGTGTGAAAACGTGTAATCAGGCTAAGATTCGCGAGGCCCCAAAGCCCCGCTTTCCCTCCAAAACACCCCACGCAGCTCCAAAACTCCCGTTTGCCGTTCACCCGCAGCCTCGCCATGACGGCGAGCACAATTGCTGCTTTGCTCCTGAGCCAAAACGGTGGAGAACGGAAGGTGCAAACAGTACTTTAAGAGGGCTGAAGGTTGAGGAGGTCTCTTGTGTTAACTAGCGATTCTAGGTTGAAATTCAAGGATTTGAGGCTTTTGAACATTGTTGGACAACGTGGGTCTTTGCAGAAACTGTGCGCGGCTTCAGTGAAATGCGAATCAGCTCGATCAATGATATGTCAAAACAGTTAAATCTCGTTGCCCAACACGGACAAGGACTGAATCTGAAACCACGAACCTGAAAAAGGGAAAGGGGGGACACCGGAGAACGGGGGCTAAACCCCCATGTGAAAACCGCGTGCATCGGGGTCCACCCTAAAAAAGTGGGACCTCCAGATGATGCACACCAACAGGTTTTCGCCTAGTCCCCCAAGCGAATGGAACTTAAACAGCACAAAGTCCAAAAGGGTGGGACAGGTGTGTTGCAAAACCCGACAAGTCCCAAACTCCCACATTCAAGCCTTCTGGATTGCCAACATCCTTGAAGCGCAAAAAGGTACAGCTTGTTGCATAACATGTGTGGCCCATATCTAAACATCATGCAGTTGCTTGAAACCCTGTCAATAAGGACTGCCTCGGCAACAACTGTGTGATCTCTGCAGCCTGTTTCCACAACTAGATGGACATGGATCGGTGTAGCAGAGTAGCACGCCAAATGTTGTGTGCGGATCGCAAAGTTGCGCAGCGCAAAACTCGCCTGTCGTTCGCTTCTGCAAGCACCACAGGGTCTTGTCTAACGTCTAGCTCCTGTGATAGTGGTTGTCGGCGGACGTTCTCAACTAGCTGCGCCTCCACCACCTTGAAGATCATGTTTGCCCACCAGGTTGTTCAACAGCTGGTAGGCCCAGTTGGCTGTGTCCCCTCCACGTTTGCGGTGGCCGCATATTTTTGAAGCAGTGTGTTAATTCCTCGCCCCTGTGCTCTTTCACCTTAGCCAACATCAGTGCAGAGGAACCGCTGAGTTGGGCTTCCAACTTTTTGGACCCAATGGCAGTTCACGTTGGGTCAACGCATCTGATCTGCAACCCGTGGAGTCAAGTGGAACACGTGGCGTGGCGCGTCGGGGCGCCGCGTGGTGCCGCGCTGTGTGAGTAGCGTGGAGAATCTGAACCGTGAAGTTCAAATGGCGCTTCGGCACATTGGCCGCTTCACTGTGGGCTTCGTTACATTTTCACGTTCCGTGCTGAAAATTTGCATCATCCACAATTTGACAAATTGGTTTCAAGCAAAGCACTCTGATTGACATGTGAGTGAAACCTGGAAGCATGAAAAAACACAGCAAAGCAACAACGACAAAATGCACAGTGGCCCCGAGGTCGTGCCCAACAAAGATTCGTGTGCATTGGTCCAGATCCGCGAAGTGAGTTATAAACTGGCTGATCACCTGGCAGGAATTTCTGCTGACAGTCTGCGCTACAAAGGCCGCACTGTGTGAAAACGTGTAATCAGGCTAAGATTCGCGAGGCCCCAAAGCCCCGCTTTCCCTCCAAAACACCCCACGCAGCTCCAAAACTCCCGTTTGCCGTTCACCCGCAGCCTCGCCATGACGGCGAGCACAATTGCTGCTTTGCTCCTGAGCCAAAACGGTGGAGAACGGAAGGTGCAAACAGTACTTTAAGAGGGCTGAAGGTTGAGGAGGTCTCTTGTGTTAACTAGCGATTCTAGGTTGAAATTCAAGGATTTGAGGCTTTTGAACATTGTTGGACAACGTGGGTCTTTGCAGAAACTGTGCGCGGCTTCAGTGAAATGCGAATCAGCTCGATCAAATGATATGTCAAAACAGTTAAATCTCGTTGCCCAACACGGACAAGGACTGAATCTGAAACCACGAACCTGAAAAAGGGAAAGGGGGGACACCGGAGAACGGGGGCTAAACCCCCATGTGAAAACCGCGTGCATCGGGGTCCACCCTAAAAAAGTGGGACCTCCAGATGATGCACACCAACAGGTTTTCGCCTAGTCCCCCAAGCGAATGGAACTTAAACAGCACAAAGTCCAAAAGGGTGGGACAGGTGTGTTGCAAAACCCGACAAGTCCCAAACTCCCACATTCAAGCCTTCTGGATTGCCAACATCCTTGAAGCGCAAAAAGGTACAGCTTGTTGCATAACATGTGTGGCCCATATCTAAACATCATGCAGTTGCTTGAAACCCTGTCAATAAGGACTGCCTCGGCAACAACTGTGTGATCTCTGCAGCCTGTTTCCACAACTAGATGGACATGGATCGGTGTAGCAGAGTAGCACGCCAAATGTTGTGTGCGGATCGCAAAGTTGCGCAGCGCAAAACTCGCCTGTCGTTCGCTTCTGCAAGCACCACAGGGTCTTGTCTAACGTCTAGCTCCTGTGATAGTGGTTGTCGGCGGACGTTCTCAACTACAGGGGAGGCCCACGCACGCGAAGCCAGAATTGTTGAGATTTTTCGACCCCAGATTTGGACTCGTGCAAACTGGCAACTTTTGCAAACATGTGTACGCGAATTGCAAGGCCTCTGAGGCCTCACCCTGCGGGGTTCGAGGCCTTCCGAGGCCTCCCGAGGCCACTCATGGGGTTTCGAAGCCTTCCGAGGCCTCCCGAGGCCTCACTCATGGGGTTTCGAGGCCTTTCGAAGTTAAAGGGTTCCCGCAAGGCCTCGAGCCCGGACGAATACTGGCTGCCTCTCTTCTTTCCCGTGAAAAGAATTTTAAGCCGCAGCTGGCTCCAAGTTCTCTTCATTCTCACTCTATTCAAAACACCAGACGGACTTCGAAGGGGCCTCGACCGCTTGCAAAAGCTATTCTTGCTGCCGCAGGCTTTCACTTAGACTTCTCGACAGTCCTCAAATAAGTCCTCGAGTGATCCAAACCCAAGCCCGCCACAAGTTCTGATTTCTGCAATGTCCAGCAATTCAGTCTTGGGAGTGAAAACCCGGAATTCTCTTACTTGGCGGCTGGTGCTCCTTGTTTTCTTCTTACAAGAGCTTCGACCAAAGACATCACTGAGATATCTGTTGTGTTTCCGTCCACCACTTGCAACAGCATGCACATAGGACAGCAGCAGCATGACATGCGTGAAGTAGCCTTCGCCGCGCCGTCAATGGCAATGGTGGCGAGCACTGGCTTCTCGAATCAGGAGCGAGTGTCCACCTTGTGAGCCAGAAGGGTAGAGAGTGGTGCTCTTAGAAGATGAAATCGCGGAATCAAATCGCTGCGATTTAAACACGCAGGCCCGAATCGCTTCTTATTCGGTCGTATTCAACCGTTGGAAACGCAAATCGCGCGATTCGGGTTTCCAATGCCAAATCGCAGCTTGCGCTGCTTTCAAGCAGCACTCGTGAGAAGTGGGTTCAATGATTTTTGCGTGTTTGGGAAAAATTGTGA